AGTTAATAAGTAACAGCTGGATTTCCTCCAACATCACTAGATTATAATGTTCTTTTTGTTACCCCTTGTTTCCATTCAACCTCAAACCTAATCAAGTTAACAAGTAGTTATTATCTACTAAGTATCAGATATAGCTAGGAGTTTTCAAATTGTCATTTCCTGTCTCCAACTCCTGGGTTCCATTCCTGCTTCCCTTTCTCAGAAGCTCCCACTTTCAAATATCTGTCTCCCTTTCACTGTCCAGTCTGCTTCCACCCTTTCTCAGCACCTTGCTGGCCTCCATTCTGGACCTAAGGTCAGCAATGCACTCCTAGGGCTTCGTCACCAGCAGTTGTTCCTGATTCAGTGGCAGATCAGCCAGGTCATATGCTGATGCTACCACAAAGATCTATTGAAAAAGGGCAGATGTGGCTCTAGAGACTCTGGGAATTATATTCGAGTGTGTTTGTGGTGGTGGTGGGGGAGGATAACAGCAAAAAGTAAACAAAGACAGGCCAGGGATGTAGCTCACTGATAGAGCACTTACTTCGCATGCATGTGCCCTTGGGTTCAGTTCCCAGTATTCTCCCCCCAAAAGTAAACAAATACAAACATAATTCCTCAATTGCTATGAAGAAAACAAACAACAGGCTACGAATTTGGGAGGGTGGGGGGTCAAGACACCAATCAAAGGAAGGAAATGAAGAAACATGATGATCTTTGGAATATGGAAAGAGACAGGAGGAGAGTTAAAAATGCCAGAGACTAAAGGCCTGTTTCTCTAGGATATGGACATTGGGAACAGATCCAATACATGGTCTTAGCAACTGGCACTTCCTGAACTTATCTCATCTCCCCACTCTCACCCCCACACTCCCTCTTTAGCTTAGTGATTCATTGTCAACCTTTCCCTAATTTCCTGGGTGTCAGGGAGGAGCAGGAGCAGAGCCCTGGGTAGCTAGAATGGGAATGAGATCGGGTGAGAAAAACTGATGAACAGTCTGGGTTCTCTGGGTCTTCTCTTTGTCTCACTCTGGTTCTGCCACAAAAAAGAAGTCTCTCTGTGGCAAGAGGACAGTGAGAATAACTAGGCCCGACTGGAGGCCCAGATTCCAGATGTAGGAGGTGGTGGTGAAACAAGATCCTGACATCTCTTTCATTTCCCCGCCTAATACCCTGCAGAAATTTTCCATTATAAACAAGTTATGCATTCCTGACTCTGGGTGCCTCCCCCTGTCCCCCACCAAAGTTTTCTTCCATCATCACTCTTTCCCCCCTCCACCCTAACTTATGTCTGTGCATGAGGGTCTGTCTACCCCCCGTGTCATGTATGTTAGTCACCGGGTTGTGTGTGTTACCTTGGAACAAGGATCCAGGCAGGTGTGCAGGTGCACTGTGCTCAGGTATAAATGTAAGGGTGGTGGCAGGTGTGAAAGGCAGATGTGGGAAAAAGATATCCTTGCAGAGGAGGTGTGTTTTATGCCTGCCAGGAAGAGGTATGTCATACAGAAGGGGACTTTTATTGTTTGGACAAGAAGAGTAGGTGTAAAATGCAGCACATATAGTGTCAGGAGGCAACTGAATATACAGTAACAGTATATCTATTTAGGGACTTATTTGCCTTCCTACATATGTCTTTGGTGAAAAATGCCCTTTGGTATTTCCTGCTTGGTGTATGTGTCAAGAGTTATCCCAGCTTTTCTTAAGACCCTGTACATTTGTTTGGGGGATTTGGAGGAGTGTATCCATGTTACAAAAGCTAAGAGGGGCTGGGAGTGATGGGGCAGGCCTATAATCCCAGCAACAGGGGAGGCTGAGGCAGAAGGGCCACAAGCTTGAGGTCAGCCTTAGTGATTTAGTGAGGCCCTGTCTCAAAAATAAAAAATAAAAAAGGACTGGGATTGTAGCTCAGTGGTAGAATAAAAAAAAAAAAATCCTGGAGGGATCTAGTGTGTGAACGCTATGTGCACATTTATAGCTCTGCATCTTCATCTTTAATTTAGCAAGAATATTGAGCAACTATTGCCTGGAGGCACCATGCTGGTTCTATGGAGGACACAAAGACATGTGTAGCCCAGATTCTAATGGAAGAGGTCATATGTGTATCACCTTCTTCACCATGCTGAATAGGATGGTGTAAAGTCCAAGAGTCAGCTCTGGTCTTTTCATCCTCTTGCTGTCATCAAGCCCCTTAGGTTCCCTTCCTCTAAAGATAACCGTGTCATTACCAAATTCTGGTAATCTCATGCTAGGAATATCTCTTATAATCACATTTTCAGGCCCATGTTACCTTTGATCTGAGCCCTTGCAGTAGCCTCCTGTCGCCTGCCCTAGTCTCTCATCCTCTAGGCAATATTGTTCATCACAGTCAGTTTCCAGTTTGAACCACGAGCTTCATGGTGGAAAGTCAAACCCATGCCCCTGGCCTGCCAGCTAAGATTTCCCCACCCTGCCAAACTTCTTTCCAGCCGTTTTTATTTCCCACTACTCCTTTACAGGAAACTTACTCTGAGATTGTTTTTATTGTGATTCCCCAAACACATCCTGTACTTTTCCAGCTCAAGGTCTTTCTGATTCCATTCTCTTTTTCATAGTCATCCTTTACATCTGAATTTGTCATATCCCACACACTGTTTAAAGTCATCTCAAATGGCACTCTTCCATGAAGTCTCCCCTGATTGATCACTCAAATATGAAAACTCGCTCTTTGGGGTTCCCTTTAACAGTTATTTTTTTCTCAGGAGAGTTCTAGTGGTCATGGTCCTCTCCCCATGTCAGAGGGTAAGGCCCTTGGGGCCAAACTGGCAGCTTTATTGGACTTGCTTCATTTAGCAGCACAGACATTGAAACTGACTTCAGAATTCTCAACAGTACTTTTTCTTTTTTGTTTTGTTTTTGATATGCGGGTCTTGACTCTGTTACTCAGGCTGGCCCCGAACTCCAGGGGCCAAGTGGTCCTTCCTCCTGCCTCAGCCTCCTGAATAGCAAGGACTACAGATACGTGCCACCACACTTTGCTTTAGTGGTAGTTTTAACAGAGCTCCTGCCACAGGTGAATACTCAAAAAATGTTAAATTCCATGTTCACGAGTGGTCTCTAAGGCAGTATGGAAATGTGTCCATAGTGTGTTGACTAATTATCACTACTACAACATTTGAATAATGTCTCACAATTCAAGAAGTTCTTCACATAAATTTTGTTATTCGACCCATACTACTGGGGGGAAATATGGGCGGTTACTAACCTCTTGCCTTTGTATTTTGTGGTTCTCTGTACCAGCCTATGTGTGAATATTTCTGTACACACCTAAGAGTAATTTTGTTGTCTCTGTGCAGTCTTTACTTTGTGTTGTGTCACGTGCATATAGCATGGGAATGTGTAATGTACTTGTGTGTTTTCATGTGTGCTAAGAATGGGCAGGGCTATGTCTGTTTGTGCTTTCTTCTGTTTGTATGTGTTTTCTTATTTTTTAAAAAATTGTCTTTTTGGGGGTTGACACCAGGAGCACTTTAACACAGCTACAACCCCAAACCCTTATTTATTTATTTACATACTTATTTAGAGGCAGGGTCTTGCTAAGTTGCTTAGGGCTCTACTAAGTTGCCCAAGCAAGCGTGGAACTTGTGGTCCTTCTCACAGGGATTATACAGGCATGTACCGTTATGCCCTAGGGAGCCAGGAGTGTGTGCTATCCACATGCCCTTGGTGTGTGAATGTGTGTTCTAACTGCGGTTCCTTGACCTTGAAGGGTCAGTATTGTTGCATAATGGCCATATCTCCTTTTCTAAGACCCCCAGCCTCCCCACGATGGTGGCTGAATCATCTTCTAAACCGTAGTGGGCCATGCTCCAGCTGCCACAATGCCTCAACATGTGTCTGCCCCCTGGGATTTCACCCACCAGCATTCACGACTCGCACGCACAGCGTGCACTCTGGCACCTAGAGATGCACAGTCCAAGTCTCCACCCACTCCCTTTGCTTAATTGTTGGAATTTCCAGCCCGGCTCCAGCCAAATGCTCCCCTGCTGCGACAGGAGGAGTTACAAGAACCCGCCCAATTCTCTGTGTACTTAAACAGCTCTGCCTGGCGGTAGGTCAGCTCTTAGCTAAACTCTCCTCAGCACTGATGTGTCACTCTCGAAGCTCGCTCCCCACCATGACCGGCCTGAGGGCCCCGTCGTCCCCCGCCCCCTCCACCGGCCCGGGACTCCGGCGGGGCTCCGGCCCTGAGATCTTCACCTTCGATCCTCTCCCGGAGAGGACGGTAGCCTCGGCCACACGCCTTGGCGCCTCTCGGGGGCACCGTAAGCGCAGCCGCAGGGTCCTTTATCCTCGAGTGGTGAGTGTCTCGAAATTGGGGAGGCCGGGGGACACGCCGCCCTGGTGCCCTGGGGAACTACTGGACTCCGAGACCTTGACTGATCTGTCCACTTTTTTGTCTCTCCTAAGGTCCGGCGTCAATTGCCAACCGAGGAACCTAACCTTGCCAAAAGGTTCCTCTTTATTCTTCTCGCCATCATCTTCTGCCAGATCCTAATGGCTGAAGAGGGTGTGTCGGCACCCCTGACGCAGGAGGACGTCCCCAGCTCCGCGTCCCCTGTGCCCATCCCGGCTCCCCCAGTCCTCGAGCACCTGAATCTGACTTCGGACCCCTCGGACTACTATCTGGACGTAAGCACCTTTCTCCAGCAACACCCAGCTGCCTTCTAACAAAGAACCTGAAAAACCCAAGAAACACCAGGCGTATCTGGTGCCCGAGAGTGTATCCCAAACTGGGACTTTCAAGGCAACTAGAACTCAGAACACTACAGCCAAGACCAGGCCGACCGGTGCTTGGGGCGAGACCGGAGACAGACGCGTCCAGGCTAAGCCCAGTGGGGAAGGAGAGCGGCGTTAATTTATTTGTCACTACGCCTAATTAATATTTATATGTATTTATGTATGTCCTCCTAGGTGATGGAGGGATGTATGTAATATTTATTTTAACTTATGCAAGGGTGCGAGATATGCTTCCCCTGCTGTAAATGCAGATCTTTTGGTATTTATTGAGCCTTATGAGATTGGTGGAGGGAGGGCTCCTAGAACTGAGGCAGAGTGGGAAAAGGTAGTGGAAGGGACGGGTGGGATGACGCCCGAACTGGGAATCGGGCATGGCGGTGGGTCGTAGGTTTAGAGGATGATACTCCGTTCTCCAGCACCTCAACTCTACCGGTCTATGTCTGAGATTTAGGCAGACCGTTGGGAATAAAGTCTCAGGCCTTCAATCTCGAAGTTTCCCCTTAGGGACAGCGGGGTTGGACGTCTATGGGCTGTCAGGAGGCGGCAGCCGGAGGTCGCCCAGTATGTTCTGTGAACAAAATAAACTTGATTTACTGAAAGCAGTCCTCCGAGTGTATCTTTGTCCGCGGCGAGTCCCCATTACCCATCTTCACGCCCCAATGACTGGCGGGAGGAACTGTGGCCACATCGCCAGTCTGTACCTCTCCCCGGGCCACGAAACCCATTTTCCCCGGAGTCACGGGACGGATCCGGCCTCCGAATGCAGTCGTATGTGGCTCATCCTGCGGTTTTACCAGTTAGTCCGCGGCAAACCCGAGATGTGGCAACCTTTCTTACTTAGGAAAGCCTGCGGCCCGCGCCGCGGGGCGGAGCGTGGAGGGCCTAGGCGGGGCCCTGGGCTCTGGCAGATGACCAGGCAGCGGCCAGTGAGCCCCACCCGGGGCTCGACTGGCAGCCCGGGGGAGCTGGCGGGCTGCAGACCCAAGCGGGGCCTGCCGGGAAAGGGGCGGAACAATCGCGCGGGGCCGAGGGGTTGGTCCGCGGCGGGGGCGGGGTCGCGTCTGCCGCAGCAACAGGGCGCGGCCGGTTTGGGGGCGCGCGTGTGGGCCCAGCTTCCAGTAAGGCGGGACCGCCGCGTTCCTGCTGGTCTCCCAGCTCTGCACGCCCCTGCCCTTCCCGAGACCCCAGCCCCGCCGCCTCCCGCTTCCGGGAAGGTGAGTGGGGGAGGCGAGATGAAGCCTGGGGCTGCAGAGGATGTGCCTGGTGGGGAAAGGTCTGGGGCTCTCAGGCGCGGGAGGGCTTCATCTGATAAAGGGGAAAGGGCGTGCACGCGTAGGAAAGGGTCCTTGGGAATCTTAGGAATTTCACAGAGAAGAGACTTAGCGGACCTCTGAGCGCCGAAGGAATTGAGCGGTAGCGGGTGCAGACTGGGTGGGTCTGTCGGAAGGGAAAGGGTTCCCTCCCTTGGCCGCCACAGCGCTCCTTTCCCATCTGCAAAAGCTTCTTCTTCCTCCAGCTCCGGTTTGAACCATGTTTTTCACTTGTGGCCCAAATGAGGCCATGGTGGTCTCGGGTAAGTATTCTCTTTCCCACAAGTGAACCCCAAACCCCTATAAGTCTGGTCTCTGCCCCTTCCTCCCCCTACCAGCTCCCGACCCCAGACCCCAAGCTTCTGCCCTCTCATGACCTCCAGCTACCTGCTTGAGTTAGGAACTCCCAACTCCAAGGCCCAGGCTGCCTTCCCCAAAAGCTCCCATATCCTCTCCCGTGGGCTGTTCCTACCCTCAAGTTCCTCATTCTAACACATCCTAGTTGTATCGTGGCTGCATAATGCCTTCACCTTGCAGGTTTCTGCCGAAGCCCCCCAGTCATGGTGGCTGGAGGAAGAGTCTTTGTACTGCCTTGCATTCAGCAAATTCAGAGGTAAGTAGGAAGAGAACCAAGGAAGGGGAACCTCAGTTTTCACTCTACTCTTTGTCTTACTGTCGACCCCTTCTTTTTCCCATAGGATTTCTCTCAACACACTGACCCTCAATGTCAAGAGTGAAAAGGTTTATACTCGCCATGGGGTCCCCATCTCAGTCACGGGCATTGCCCAGGTGAGGCTTTCAAAGCCTTTCCCCACCAAAGTCCACTTCCCAGTCTCTCTGTCCCACACATTAAGAATTTTCTGACCATGGCCTTCTCAATATCTGCCTCAAAAAAAAAAAAAAAAAATGTCTCTGCTATTGCTATTGCTACAGCCACCCCAAGGCACTTGGCTCCTCCTCCTCTTTCTCCCTGAGATAGAAGAAACTGCACTTAGAGGCTTCCCCTTCCCTCCCTACTTCTTCCTTGGCTTCATGATACCTAATGACACCCCCCCCCCCATCCCTACTCTGGCTGCAGGTGAAAATACAGGGGCAGAACAAGGAAATGTTGGCGGCTGCCTGCCAGATGTTCCTGGGGAAGACAGAGGCTGAGATTGCTCACATTGCCCTGGAGACGCTGGAGGGTCACCAGAGGGCTATAATGGCCCACATGACTGTGGAGGTGGGCTTGGGGACAAGGAAACATCAAGTAGAGATGCCATACTGAATGGAGCCTAAGGACTCAGCTAATCTGTGAGACATGGTGGATCTGAGAGCTTAAATTCCTACCATTCTTTTGTCTTAGGAGATCTATAAGGACAGACAGAAATTCTCAGAGCAAGTTTTCAAAGTAGCCTCCTCGGACCTGGTCAACATGGGCATCAGCGTTGTTAGCTACACTCTGAAGGACATTCACGATGACCAGGTGAAACTAGGCAGCTATTCCTTCCCTACTTCCTTGCTCCCATCTCAAAACCTCGTGACAACTCTGGTTTCTGCACCTCTCCCATAGGACTATTTGCACTCTTTGGGGAAGGCTCGAACAGCACAAGTCCAAAAAGATGCCCGAATTGGGGAAGCAGAAGCCAAGAGAGATGCTGGGATCCGGGTGAGAGAGATGGGAGTTGCTCTGTCACCATAGGCTTATAGGACACACAGTGAAAAATGGGTAGAAGGGGCAGAGCTAATGAGACTATAGTACTGGGTTGGCAGGAAGCTAGGTGTGGCTGTGTATTCATGCCGGTAACCCCACCTATGCTGGGAGACTGAGGCAAGAGGATCAAGAAAAAAAAAAAGTTGGGGGTTGTAAACCAGTGGCAGAGGACTTGCCTAGCATGCATGGCCCTGTTTGAGAATTGTAAGAAGTGAGTTAGCAGGGGAAAAAATGAGGCCTGGGATAAAGGCAGTGAAGCCTGGTGAGGGGCAGGCTCTCATCCATGGCCTTCCTCATTCTGCCCTGACTTTTCCTACCTGATCTGTGTTTGGACAGGAGGCTAAAGCCAAGCAAGAAAAGGTTTCTGCTCAGTACCTGAGTGAGATCGAGATGGCCAAGGCACAGAGGGACTATGAACTGAAGAAGGCTGCATATGACATTGAGGTCAATACTCGCCGAGCACAAGCTGACCTGGCCTATCAGCTTCAGGTGAGAGCTGCCACACTAAGCAGATGGCCAAGCTGCTTATTGCCCCCTCCTACTTCCTCCTGTGCTCTCCATTCCAGCACACCACTATTTATCATTCTAACTTTGATCTTATTCTGGATCTCCTTTTCTGATCTACCTCCCCCCACGTGAAGAGAGACTCAAAATACTCAAACTTGAGCTGAAAAGCAAAGGAAAGGCATGAAAGGATGTGAGCCAGATAAAAGATGCAGCCCATGCACCACTTGCCAGGCTGTACACTGTGGCATGGGTCTGCATCCACAGAGAGGAAGTCATCTTTTTCTGATTTGTACAAGAGCACACAATAGGCTAATAGCAGCCCTGATGATCAAGACAGAGTATGAGGAAGGAAAACATGGACATAGACATTGAATCCTGAAAAATGATCTATGGGCATCCCTTAATATTGCAAGGAGGTATAACTGATTCCTGTTATTCATGGATCCCATATCTGAAAATTTGCCTATTCACTAAAATTTATTAGTAACCCCAAAATCAGTACTTGCAACACTTTCATGGTCATTGGCCTATATTGAGCAGAGTAGTGCAAAATCCTAGTTGCCTGATGCATAGCTTGCAGACAAGGTCAAACAAGAAGATGCTCTGCCTTCTTGTTTCAGCTTTCACACCATAAACAGAGTCATTTTCATGGCATATTTACTGCCACACTTTTTGCATTTTTTTGTGCTTTTTGTTGGTGATCTTGCTTTTCAAATGGCCCCTGGGGCTGGGAATGTTGCTCAGTGTTGATTGCTTGCCTAATATGCATTAATCTCTAGATTCTTCAGCATCACAAAAATAAATAAATAATAAAATCATAGGCCAGGCATGGTGGTACATGCTTGTAATCCCAGTGGGTTGGGAAGCTGAGGAAGGAAGATCGCAAGGATGAGGTCAGCCTCACCAATTTAGTGAGGCCCTAAGCAACTTAATGAGGCTCTGTCTCAAAATAAAAAAGTTGTGGGTATATGGCTTAGTGATTAAGTGCCCCTGGGTTCAATGCTGGTACCCCAAACATAGTGCTGAATTGCTGTCTGGAATCTCTTAACACGAGAGGTTCTGATGTGCCTTATAGGAAAAATATATGTCACATAAGCTTTGTTCAGGCATGAATTGACATACTGTTAGACATGAAGTCTGTGTTACTGAACCAACTAAATAATATATAAAGTGTCTTTAAACAGAAACACATAAAACAAGCTTATGTATTGATTGGTTGATAAAAATGTTATGATTAGCCAGGCACAGTGGCACACACCTATAATCCCAGCAATTTAGGAGACTAAGGCAGGAAGACTGCAAATTCAGGACCAGCCTGGGCAACTTAGTAAGACCCTAAGCAGTTTAGTAAGATTCTGTTACAAAGTGAAAAACAAAAAATGACCCTTGGTTCAGTCCCTATTACCAAAAAAATAAGTTTTGATCAGAGGCTCACAGGAATCTGACCCATATTTCTCCTAGGAACAAAATAAGTATTAGCTAATTCAGTGTTCATGGCTATTTTACAAAACCAAACTAGGGTAAGTAATAAGAGTCAACGTTACCTTTGAGACTTTATCTGAAGGATAGCTACATTGTGAATTTTGTTTTTGCCAAGACTTGGTACTAGCTGAAAGTAAGTTGAGGTACAAAACATCTTTAATTATGATGTAGAATTTCAGCATGGTTTGACAGATTATTGGCAGTACCATACTGCTTTATTACTCAAAGTACAGTCCATCTAGAAGCAGCAGGAACACTGAGAAGGTTAGTGGAAATATAAAATCTCAGGCTCCAGTCTAGACTGACTAAATCAGAATCAGAATCAGTATTTTTAACAAAATCCCAAGGTGATTTGCATGTACATTGGAGTTTGAAAAATATCACATAATAAAAACTACTAGCTTACGGTGAGACTGTGGATATGATTCTTTTTTTTTTTTTTTTTTTTTCTTCCTGGATTGAACCCAGGGGTGCTCTTTCAATGAGCTACATTCCCAGCCCTTTTTTCCACCTCCTGGGTTTCTGGGATTATAGGTGTATACCACCAGGCCTGGCTGGTAAGATTTTTGTATTAGTCTCCTTTCTGTTACTATAAGAAAATATTTGAGATAATAAACTATGAAGAGAAAAGATTTATTTTAGCTCACAGTTTTGGAGGTTTCAGTCCATGATTGGGCTTGTAGCAAGGTACCATCGTGGAGGGAGTGTGTTGTGGAGCAAAACCATTCACCTCATGGCCATGACATAATGGCCCACAAGGCCCCAACTCCTAAAGGTTTACCACCTCTCAGAAGTATCACCCTGGGACCAAGCCTTTAGCACTTAGGCCTTTGGAGGACACTTATCCAAACCATTACAGTTCCTAACCTTTTAAAAAGGCTTTCCTTGTCTGTAAATCCAGGCATGCTGGATGGGCTCCGTTTAACTCTTATCAGTTTCTTATGTGCCAGACACTGTGCTAGGTACTCACAAAGTAAATA